TACGCCCTCCGCAATCTGAATCAGTACCGGCAAGCTACTGTGGTTCCATGAATCTATGTCCCATCTGATCGTGCCTTCCGGAGTGAAGTAGAGATCTCGGGAGCCTAGCGTCGAGGGCTGTCCATAGGTAAGGTACAGCTCTTTCACCGTATACTTGCCAGAATCGCTCACCGTGACGGAGGTATCGTCATCTTCAATCATCAGTCCCAGATTCTCCATGTACCGGAAAGCGGACTGCGGTAGCGAGTCGGTCAGAATGTCGGCGTGGGAGTGATGCCGTCTTACATATAGCTGCTTCCCCTATGTGAGGCACCACGTTGAGTGTGATCATACGGTCAGCCTGCGATGCGGGATTGACTCACTATGTCGATGACCTGGAGATACTTCTTCACTCCATGCAACGCCCGAAAGCAGTCCTCAAAAGGCTTCTGTTCTTCGAACGCACGGCAGGATTAGCATGTACAGATCTGTAGAGTCAACTGTCGACGGACCTGTGCCACCGTCGATCACGACGAATGCATGCGGGCAATCAGGGCTCGAATAGGCCAAGATCTGTGCAATGTGCGGATGCCTATCACGGGGATATAGGTCAGCTCGCAATGCATACGACATTCTTGGCCACTCACATCACCCGTTTCGAGCGTTGGACAGCCGCACGGAAATCTTCATTCTGACGGGGGAACTTCTTGACGATAACGGGTTGTCCAGTCTTTCGTATCCGCGCCTGATACTGTACGACGCGCTCTCCGAGATCGTCGTCCATGGCGTCGGCGGATACGTCTATCTCGCGCACGAGAACGACGTCTTCCTGACGGAGTATCATCTGTCGGTGATGCTTCAGTGTGCGTAAAGCGATCATGCAATATGAGAGTCTCTGACCGTTCCATCCTCATCTCTGCCGAGTGTGTTCATTCTCACGCAGCGCATGAGCTCAACCATCTTGTCGTCCAATCTGTCCACCTTTCCACTTATCTCGCCCGTACGACTCCACACACTCTCTGTAATCCGCCGAGAACTCTCCACCTCCTGCACGAGATGCATTTGAGCGGCGGCGATCTGACCTCGTTCTTGCTGAGCTACTATGGAGTCCTGGACCTGTTTCCAGCGTGCATCAGCGACGATGGAACAGTAGTAGCGGCTAGGTGAGCCGGGCTCACCTGAAAAAGACGGAATGCGTCGTCTAGGAGCGTGCTCAGGTCCTGCGCTTCCTTCATCCACTTGTCTTTGTGCAGGAGGAACTTGAAGAAGTTCTTCGTCGTACGCCGCTCCATCAAGTTCTCTATCTGTTTCAGTGTGCTGATCATCGTGCAACGATCTGTGAACTGTCATCGCATCGCCATCAGAACGCTGTACTCACTGAAGAAGTGTATCGATATGCGCCGCGGTAGCGGTGATGTCGACGTTGAACGCGCACCCGTTCAGTTGGTCGTATATCTGTAGCGAGAAGCTAGCAGCGCGGATAGCTAGCGAACAACACTCATCGCGCGTGTCCCTCGTTTCCTGCGGGAGGCGGGTTACGACAGTCTCGACATTGAGTGCTCTCCTGTCCTCCACTGCAGGGACCTACCTGCACGAGTTCTGCGATGCTCAACGCGACTTCGACAGCAGGGGCCAGCCCGGGCACCGACACCGGGACAAAGTCCAAAGTCCTCTTGGCCACGCGCAGCGCCGCAACGAGCTTGTCCATTCGAGGTAAACCTGTTGGCGCGCATCATCAGCGAACGGCGGCGCCGCAAGCACAACGATTGGACACACACCTACGGACCGCCAAACAGATCCGCGGAGATATAAAAGGCGGAGAAATATTCGGGGATAACTGACTCCGCGAGGATTTGGGAGACCGCGATCACGCAGACCAGCTAGTCTTATACGACCACGGCGCACACTGAGCACGCGGGGAGAGGGAACAAGGTCGCCACGGAGTTGACATTTGACAGCGCGGACGCTGGTGGCGGTAAACATTGATCGCATGCGGTGCCTTTGTATTCTAGGCGAGGAGAGCGGAGCGAGTCTGGTATCTGAACTCGGCCTACGGGAGAACAATGTCGCGACGAAGAGGCGAACAGACATCGCCGTTCCGGGGTGCCTGGTCCTGCGAGGCGAGTTGCTTTCGTCAAAAGCTGCGAAAAGTGTCAATGTAGACAGCACAAGCACACATACGCATCATACACGGGTCCTCTTACGTGCACGGAGAATACAACGCCTGCCAGGAACGATGAGCGCCTAGTGGGGCGCCTATTCTAGGCTTAGGTACACTCGTGCTCCGAGTCGGGAGGTCATCCAGCAGTCTTATTCTTCATAGTGCTACAGGATAGGCGGGTAAGCAAAAGTTTGTACATACATGGACACGGCGGCAATAATGTTCGCCTGTCGATCAATGACTTCTTTCTCGCGTCCATCTCCTCAGAGACCGCCAAACGCGATGAACTTGACGTTCATGTACTCCTCGATGCCATGGCCACCCTCGCGACCTAGAGCCACGCGTCATCAGCACTCCGCCCGCACAGCATACGCCGCTTGCAAAAGAAAGACGCACCGAGCCCGCTCTCCTTGATCCCCCCAAACGGAATGACCGCCTGGCTGATCAAGCCCGTGTTCGTGCCCACCATGCCGACCTCCAGCGCCTCCGCGACGCGCCACACGCGTCCCACGTCGCGCGAGAAGAAGTAGCCAGCGAGGCCGACGGGCGTGTCGTTCGCGAGCCGGATCACCTCCTCCTCCGTCTCGAAGCGCGTGAGCGCGGCGAGCGGGCCGAACGTCTCCTCCTGGTTCACGAGCGCGTCCTGGGGGACGTCCGAGAGCACTGTGGGCGCGAAGAAGGAGCCGGGGCCCGGGAGGCGCTTGCCGCCGTGCACGAGCTGGGCGCCCTTGGAGAGCGCGTCTTCGACGTGCCGCTGCACTTTCTCGATGGCGCGGTCGTGGATGAGGGGACCGTGCGTGCTGTTGTGGAGCTGTGCATCAGCATGATGAACGAGGGGTAGAGCATGTGTGCACATACGTGTCCTTGTCGAGACCGTTGCCGACCTTGAAGGCGGCGACCTTCTCGGCGAGACGAGAAGCAAAGTCAGCGTATACGGAGGACTGCACGTATATCCGGTTCGCGCAGACGCAGGTTTGACCCGTTCCGCGGAACTTGCATGCGATGGCACCTGGGACGTCTCAGGTCAGCCTAAAACCACACGCCGAGTGGTACAGGACGCACCCTCCACCGCAGCGTCGATGTCGGCATCATCGAACACGATGAAAGGCGCGTTACCACCAGCCTCGATGGACACCCTACGCCATTTCAGCACTGTCAGCCAAAGCAACCAACCCGCGCAGGAACGGCATACTTCTTCAACGTTGTCGCAGCGAGGCCGTACAGCATCTTCGCGACCGGCGTGCTCCCAGTGAACGAGACCTTCTTCACCGCGGTGTTCTGGCACATCTCGCGGCCGACCTCGTTCACGTTTGCCTGCGTCGTCACCACGTTGATCACACCAGGCGGCACCCCGGCGCGCGTCGCCAACTATTCCACAGGGTGGGTCAACGCTTGTTATAGTAAGGGTCCTCGGCGGAGATCCCTACCTCGACGAGCGCGAGTGCTGAGAAGGGAGTCTCTGGAGGGGGCTTGATGACGGCTGTGCAGCCTGCAGCGAGGGCCGCGCCGAGCTTGCGCGTGATCATGGCCGAAGGGAAGTTCCAGGGCGTCAGGATGGAGCTGCATCGTAGAGCACAGTTGAGCGAACGAGTAAGTTGTACAGCACGGCACAGACATACACAACACCTGCAACAACGGCAAGTCAGTGATAGATGTCGATGCAGTGAGCTCTGGCTGCGTACCGATCGGTTGTTTGATGACCACATTCCGAAGGTGTGGGAACGGTGAGGGTATGACCTCTGAAGGCGAAGACGGCTGAGCACGACGCGTATGCAGCGATGTTAAGGGAACATACCGCCATAGGTACGAACGGCCTCCTCGGCTGCACGGGGAGAACCGACGTTAGTATGGTTAGACGGTCAGGACCGAGACGGGTGCCTTACCGAACCACTGTGACGACGTTCATTCACTATCCTGCCGAGGACACCATGCGACTGCTTACCTCGATGAAGGACGCGCTATATGCGTGCTCTCCCTTGGCCTCTGCGAGGGGCTTGCCGTTCTCGAGAGTCTGGACGGAGAGTTCAGCGGTCCGCTACATGTCTGTCACGTTGGGAACTCACGATGAGACGCGCGAGGTCGTCTTGGTGTTCCTGCATAAGCGCGAAGAGCCTCTTGAGGATGTCGTGTCGGTGCTGTAAGGTACCATCATGAGCACGTCGAGAACGCGAAGCAAGTGTCCGGAATAACCTTTGCGGTGGTCTTGCTCCATGTCTTGAACGCGTTCGAAGCAGCTTCTATCGCTTGTTTCGTTTCATCGAGACCCATCTCCGGGACGGTCCCCAGCTCCTCTGCGGTGGCAGGGTCTACGGTGCATGATGAGCACATCTGGACGCGTGTATGGGATTGTGGGCACGCACTGGTGACCTTGATCACTCCGCCATCCTTGGCGTCGACCCATTTTCCGTCAATGAAGCCCTGGGTGTGTACGAGCGAAGACTCCTTCAAGCCAAACTAGGGTGGACCCTGGGCGTGAGTTTGGCGTCCCGAGAGAGGGGAAAGAGTACATACAGCCGCGGTGCTAGACATTCTGTAGCGGAAGAGGGAGTGTCTGGGGATGAACCTGGGCTTGAGGGGAGAGGTGGAGGCGAGAGAGAGGGAGATGACTCGATGGGGCGGGGGCATGCTGGGATGAGTTTGCTATGGACGAGTCCGAGTCGAGCCGTTCCCGCACTCGACTCGGCGTTCCGGTGACATAACTCCTAACCCTAGCTTCCCCACACACCACCCATCACGCTACTCGCCTGCCGACGCAAATGGACGCAAGCCAGCTGCAAGCTCCAGCTGATCACTTGGAGCAAAAGAACCCATTAATCGTATAGCACGCTCGAGGAACCATCGCAAACGAGAAAAAGAAACTAGCCCACCGCGAGGGTCGAACTCGCAGCCTTCAGATTCCCGCCGAGTAAGAGTCTGACGCTCTATCCGATTGAGCTAGGCGGGCTGTGCTTACTCTTACCTTGTAGCGTATATATTTATGTGAGTGTTCAACGTCTGTTCTCGTTCACCCTCTTCTCATCTCCAATCGTTTGCCATGCTCTGAGAAGGCTGGCACTCTGTTGTGTCCTACGCAATTATCTGATACTCATGGCGTCGGTCGATTCCCACCTGATACAGGCATCCATGCAACTCATTCCTGCTAATCAACCTCCCGTCCCATTCACCGGCCCCAGCTAGCTGCGACTCGTCGCGATCGCGATTCGTGTATCTGCACCTGGCTATGCCAAACCCCGAACCATGACTCAGACAACTCCAAACGCCCCACTTTGGTTCTACACCTCTGTGAGACCCGGCGCCAGTCCGGGGTCTTGAAAGGGCTCCGGTGCGTGATGAACAGCATATCGCCAACCGTATACGAGGGTAAGCATGCATCATGACTGCAAGACAGAGCACTTTCGCGTGTACCGATGCCGAAAGGTAAGCGGTAAAGCGGTAAACAGGTCACCCAGCACGCGGCGACTCTTCTAACGGACTGCCCTCGGGACATCAGGCGCAGGTAATAAAGGGGATTGCGCGTTGTACACCGCAGGGTTCTCTCTCACGTACCGCGCAAGCACAATTCTGTCAGTGAATTCTTTCAGCCCCGTCTAGAGTCTCTGGCTTTTACTGGACGCGCTGGCTGCTATCCTCGATCTTCGCAGTCGTTCTGCAGTCTGGCTCTGGAGTTGTCCATCTGCTACCTCCGACACTCCGACTCGATCGGCATATCGATCACTTCCTAGCTGCTTACCACTCTGGCGTCCATTCGACCCAACAGACCTCCCAGGAGAGCACTGCGTCCGCTGAGCTGTCCTCTCGGCATGCTGAGAGCTCTGCCTCATCTCGTGTTAGGGCTTACTCCGCTGGCAGGTCGTCCCCTGAGCACGGCTCCGGAGCCCCGATTATACAGCATCAACTCCTGCGGTACTGAGTACCGCTGACATCTGCAACGTCGCGCGTAGTAGAGGACTCTACACGTATAAAGAGCCTACTTCGCGTGCCTTCCTCTAGCCAACACACCATACACTGGACGTTGACTCCTCTACCAGTACGACATGTCCGACCCCACTCCTACCAAGCAGAAGTCCCTCGTCCTCCACAAGGAGAGCACCCCGTACGTCCTCGAGGAGACTCCCGTCCCCAGGCCCGGGCCTCAGGACGTGCTGGTCAAGATCCTCGCTTGCGCACTCAACCCCGTCGATTACGCCATCGTCGACCCGCCCATATCCAGGTTCCTCATCCAGGAGTGGCCGCACCATCCTGGGTGCGACGGTGCTGGCATCGTCGTCGAGGTCGGCTCGGAGGTCACGAACAGGAAGGTAGGCGACAAGGTGTGAGTATCGACCGTCCACGGCCTTTGGCGACGGGAAGCGTTTGCTGACGCTGACCGCGTGCCTGCATATACCCAGCCTGTTCCAAGGTGATATGCGCGCCACTGGAGCCACCTTCCAGCAATATGCGATCGTGCCCTCGGACCTCACCTCCATAGTACGTCTCCGCTTCTTGCGACATATTCTCCAACGGGGAGCTGATCAGAGAGTCTCGTAGATCCCGGATAACATCACGTTCGAGCAGGCGGCATCCATCCCGCTCGCCCTCTCGACCGACGTCCTGGGGCTTTACAACCAGTCTCCGGCCCCTGAGAACCGCAGCCTGCGCCTCAAGCCCGTCTGGGAGCCCGAGGGCCAGACGGCGTATGCCGGCACGCCCGCGTTCATCGTCGCCGGCGCCGCGTCCCTCGGCCAATACGGTACGTCCCGTGTGCGCCCAACGCTACTGTCGTGCAGGACGCAGGCCGACGAGTGACCGCCCCCTTTCTCCCAGCGATACAGCTCGCGAAGATGGCCGGGCACCACCCGATCATCGCGACCGCGTCGCCGCACAACGCGGAGCTGCTCAAGTCCCTCGGGGCGACGCACGTCCTCGACAGACACCGCTCGAACGAGTCCATCCTCGCGGAGCTCCCCGCGCTCACGGGCGGCAAGCCGATCCGCTTCGCGCTGGTCGCGTTCCTGCTTGGGGGCCCGGAGCCGGTGCGCCTCGCGAGGGACGCGCTCGCGCCCGGGGGCCTGCTCGCGACCGTAGCGCCGGGTCCGGAGCGATTCCCGGAGGACTGCGTGAACCCGGGCGAGGGGAAGCGCGTGGGGTACGTGTTTGGGAGCCCGAGGTTGCCGTACAACAGGGAGTGCGGGAGGGCGATGTTCGAGCACCTCACGGGGTGGCTCGAGAAGGGGCTGCTGAAGGCACGTCTAAGGGGACTGCTGTGCTGGCTATGGTGGGATGCTGACGCGTTGCATGCAGCCGAACCCGGTCGAGGTGCTTCCGAACGGATTAGCGGGGATCAACGATGGGCTGGCAAGGATGAAGGCTGGCAAGGTGTCTGGCACGAAGCTTGTCGCGCGCCCTCAGGAGACTCCGTGAGGATCCGCAGTGGCCTTGTACTACTATCGCTTTGTTCCCTTGTATGTGCACCGTCTCGCGGATTTAGGCTTTGCTGGCAGTTCACCAATCCTCGATATCCAGAAGAGCCGTGCAGAGTAAAAAGGCTCGTTGAACTTCAAGCTGTAATCCCCCCAGTGAGATCGCGCGCTAATCACGGACAGGCAGCAAGCCGGTGCTGTGTCAACCTCGTGCGAGGGAACTCTAGATATCTGTTTGCATTTTCTCGTCATGATACATGTCAAGCTCGTATTGCGGATGTGGCATCGTCGTAAAGGTATACGTAGATATAGCGTTGTAAGATTAGAGGGATAAGTTATGCCGTCAACCGGCCTATATGCAAGGAAGGGTATGGGCAGATCACAACTTCAAGCCAGCAAGGAGTCTGAAATCTCACCGTTCATCTCACCGAGAGCGCATAAGGAAACCAGCCGCTAGCCACAAAACCAGGACGCCGTAGTGAACCAGAAAAAGAACGTCCAGTCCAAGTGTCGCGACGAGTCACAGCACAACGTGTCCATCAGCCGCTTGACAAAGGACCCACGCACACGACACGACAGCTGCGCGCCCCGCACAAAGCCCCCGGGGCCCGACCACCGAACGCAGACCGCAGATCAGCGCTCAAGCGCTCACCGCACAGGGGGCCCGACCATCAGCTTCATCTTCGAGAACCCGTCCTGGACGTTGTCGCGCACGAGCCCGCGGAACATGTACTGGTCGAGGAGGTAGTCGACCCTGCGCACGCCCTGCGCCTCCTCGAACGCGGCCGCGGACGGGAACGTGCGGCAGCGGCGCGTGTAGGCGGCGGAGATGTCGTACGTCTGCGCGCGCGTGAGCCGCGCCCAGTCGACGTGCGAGATCTGGCGCTGCATCGTGCGGTGGATCGCCATGAGCACGTCGTAGACCGTGATGGGCGTGTCGTCGGCGGCGGCGGCGGGCACGTTGAGGAAGGGCGAGCGTTCTCGCGAGCGCTCGCGCGAGGTCGAGTGCGGCTCGAGCACGATGGGCCACTCGGGGAGCCTGTCGCAGGTGATGGTCATACGCCGGACCGCGGGGTACGTCGCGGGCTCGCGGAGCTCCTCGAGCGTGAGTGGGGTGCCAGAGGTCTGGCTGAGAGACTTGACGCGCTGCGGGTTGAAGGTGTTGAGGGAGAGGTCGAAGAGCAGCATCGGGCCCCCAGCGTTTTCGCCGTTCAGCAGAGGGTGGATGGCGGGCGCTGGGGGAGAGGGCTGGAACTGGACAGGCTGCATCATGGCCATGGTCGGGAAAGTGTACCAGGCAGGCTGAGGCAGGCAGCTGTCTGAGGAGCGTCGGTGGTGCGTGTAGTACGGCTGAGGCTGCGGAGCAAGAGGCATCATAGGCGGAAGAGGGGTGACGATGATCGGAGGTGAGGGGAAGGGAACAGGGTTGGGAGGGGGTACGAGACCGCCATGCCAAGAGGGACGTCGCTGACGTTGGTGAGGCTGATCGTCCCAGTGTACACGTCGGTCATCGCGAGGTGGCAGCTGAGGGGAGGCCGGAAGCAGCACTGGGGGGATGAAGGGCGAGATGTGCGGCTGATGATAGTAGGGGTAGAGGTAGGGCGTCGGGTAGTAGAACTGAGGTGCGTGGCCGTAAGGAGAAGCCATTGCAGCAGAGATGGTGGTTGAGGAGTAAAGAGTCGAGCGGAGTGCCAGCCAAGAGAGAGCAGCCCTTTATAGCAAGCAGAGTCAGACGCGGGAAGGAAAGATGTGAGTAGAGGTTCGGTACCGCAGCTCAGTCCAGGCTGGAAGACGGACGAAGTACTACTCCGGGTAGGAGCTTCGGGACCACCGAAGGATTGGCAGTGCTGGGAGGATGGGCGAGAGGGGAGATCGGGGAAGAGAGTGCACAGCAGCAGAACGATCAGAGTGACACGGGCCATATATCGGATTTGAAAGAGTGACGGGGCTAGTGTGACTCGGTACGTGCGTGGCATGGCGACATTGCATCAGCGAAAAGACAGAAGAAAAAGGTTCGCGCCCCGACGCGGACTGCAGGTCAGTGCGGGGAAGAGCACCAATCATGGACGTGGATAAGGATCAACGTCTCACCTTGATGGGCGGGTGCGCTGATGGCAGCCCCGAGGCTCCGTCGAGCTCGGGGGTTGACCAGAGCTGGACGATCGCGCGAGAGCTGTGCGAGAAAGAAGCTGGCGACAAAGGACTCTCGAGGCTGCGCAGCTGTTCGCGGTCAGTGTTGTGTGGTTTCCAAGGGTCGAGTGAGCAGCGAGGGCGCTGGACGGGCCAGCGATCCGGAGATAGTTACCGCGTTAGACAGACATGTTCACAAGCCATGGCAGCGCATATGGTTCCATTGTGTCCGTGGATGGTCACTGCACAGAACCCGAAGACGATGTGGTTGCGAGAGAAGAAACCCCTCAGCCTGGGCGTCTACTGGATGCTTTGGGTGCTGACACACTTGTGCCACGCACGCACCGACCGACACGCATGCTCATGTGGGCTCTATCATGTCCAGGAACCTTCACTTGTAGGTATTGATGTCGGA